CTCCCCTGCCAGTTCTTTCTAGTATCATCAGGCCCGTTTGTTTCTCGTTGTTCTTAGCTTTATATTGTACTCACGTTTTTGTCGCCCTAGCCCCGTTCCAGTCTTGTGCCCCATTGTCTCAGCCTCCTCGCCTCTGTTGCTTCTCCGGACCACGAACCTCCTCAATCCCGCACCATCTCCAGCACGCAGGTCGATGCACAGTCTCCCATTAACTGCATGTACTAACTCTGTCTCCTCAGCAACCTTCCACCACGACCAGCCCAGCAGTGAGTCCCAGCGTCCGCAGCCTGGCCTTTCCCTCATCATTCCACCACTGACTGTTATTCACCTTCTGCGGCTTGACACCCGGTCCCACTTCAACCTGGTCATTCACTTCCTTGTAAGATATCACTGTAAATAAACCGAGCACTACTTGCACTGAAGTCAGCCACCTGGGTCCGTCCTTTTTTTGACTCGCTCACCTCTGTGTCTGAGTGGATCTAACAACCATTCACAGCCACTGTATCAGATGTTTGTAATATGGTTTCATTTCTTCCTTAGTTGAACAATCTAGGCAAAACAAAGAGGTGTACCATCAGTACCAGGAGCTTGCTTGAGTAAATGTACTTAGTTATTTTCCAAAACTACTGTGTTGTTGGTGTGGACTGTAATATAAAAAGGTGTTTCTGTGAAAAATGACCTGGGAGAACTGGGAGATCCTTTGTCAGGAGCCTTACATATATAAGCTTTAGCTGTACTTTAGTATTTTGTCAGCATTGTACAGTAGCTGAATAAACCTTTGTGAAGTTAGGCCTACATTGCACTACCTGCAGTAATTTTTACAGTGCCTTGCGAAAGTATTCGGCCCCCTTGAACTTTGCGACCTTTTGCCACATTTCAGGCTTCAAACATAAAGATATAAAACTGTAATTTTTTGTGAAGAATCAACAACAAGTGGGACACAATCATGAAGTGGAACGAAATTTATTGGATATTTCAAACTTTTTTAACAAATAAAAAACTGAATAATTGGGCGTGCAAAATTATTCAGCCCCTTTACTTTCAGTGCAGCAAACTCTCTCCAGAAGTTCAGTGAGGATCTCTGAATGATCCAATGTTGACCTAAATGACTAATGATGATAAATAGAATCCACCTGTGTGTAATCAAGTCTCCGTATAAATGCACCTGCACTGTGATAGTCTCAGAGGTCTGTTTAAAGCGCAGAGAGCATCATGAAGAACAAGGAACACACCAGGCAGGTCCGAGATACTGTTGTGGAGAAGTTTAAAGCCGGATTTGGATACAAAAAGATTTCCCAAGCTTTAAACATCCCAAGGAGCACTGTGCAAGTGATAATATTGAAATGGAAGGAGTATCAGACCACTGCAAATCTACCAAGACCTGGCCGTCCCTCTAAACTTTCAGCTCATACAAGGAGAAGACTGATCAGAGATGCAGCCAAGAGGCCCATGATCACTCTGGATGAACTGCAGAGATCTACAGCTGAGGTGGGAGACTCTGTCCATAGGACAACAATCAGTCGTATACTGCACAAATCTGGCCTTTATGGAAGAGTGGCAAGAAGAAAGCCATTTCTTAAAGATATCCATAAAAAGTGTCGTTTAAAGTTTGCCACAAGCCACCTGGGAGACGCACCAAACATGTGGAAGAAGGTGCTCTGGTCAGATGAAACCAAAATCGAACTTTTTGGCAACAATGCAAAACGTTATGTTTGGCGTAAAAGCAACACAGCTCATCACCCTGAACACACCATCCCCATTGTCAAACATGGTGGTGGCAGCATCATGTTTTGGGCCTGCTTTTCTTCAGCAGGGACAGGGAAGATGGTTAAAATTGATGGGAAGATGGATGGAGCCAAATACAGGACCATTCTGGAAGGAAACTTGATGGAGTCTGCAAAAGACCTGAGACTGGGACGGAGATTTGTCTTCCAACAAGACAATGATCCAAAACATAAAGCCAAATCTACAATGGAATGGTTCACAAATAAACATATCCAGGTGTTAGAATGGCCAAGTCAAAGTCCAGACCTGAATCCAATCGAGAATCTGTGGAAAGAACTGACAACTGCTGTTCACAAACGCTCTCCATCCAACCTCACTGAGCTCGAGCTGTTTTGCAAGGAGGCATGGGCAAAAATTTCAGTCTCTCGATGTGCAAAACTGATAGAGACATACCCCAAGTGACTTACAGCTGTAATCGCAGCAAAAGGTGGCGCTACAACGTATTAACTTAAGGGGGTTGAATAATTTTGCACGCCCAATTTTTCAGTTTTTTATTTGTTAAAAAAGTTTGACATATCCAATAAATTTCGTTCCACTTCATGATTGTGTCCCACTTGTTGTTGATTCTTCGCAAAAAATTACAGTTTTATATCTTTATGTTTGAAGCCTGAAATGTGGCAAAAGGTCGCAAAGTTCAAGGGGGCCGAATACTTTCGCAAGGCACTGTAGCTCCTAGGATCACTCGGGTACTCAAACCCCTCCACCACAATAAGGTGGCGGTTCAAGGAGGGGGGGTGATAAGATCCTTGTGTTAATTAACTTCCCATTGACTGGATGGTGATAAGATCCTTGTGTTAATTAACTTCCCATTGACTGGATGGTTAAAAGACTTGAAATCTTTTGTGTATTGGCAGTTTTTCAGGCTCCACACTAAAATGGTCTTGAAGAGGTCAAACATTTAATTCATTATTAGATACTACAGGATAATGATATGCACTGACAAATCTGTCCCTTGTGTTTTTTGCCCTTTTGAAACTTACCATAGGAGTGGGTCTCTAAATATTAACATGACATGACATGTATGAGATTGGTTGTTTTAAAATTTTTCCTTTTTTATTTGTATTTATAGGATTCTGTTGTGTGCCTTTAACAGACCCTGATGAAGGCTTCAAGTCAAGACGTGTTGGTCTTCTTATTAAAGTTGCTCAAAACACTGCAGATGTTGCTGGACTTTTTGTTTTCCAGTTAGTTTTTTGTCTGTGCACCTTGACCAGTAGCGCCTGCATCCGTAATCTTGTACGCACCCTGTGTACGTCTTTTAAATGATTTTACTCAAGTTTAACACCACTGCATCTGGTGGTCATTGTACAATAGAGAAATGTAGTTTTACATTTATGGCCTGAGGAGCTATCTAATATGGTACTGTATTGCACACTCCTAGAGTGGATGACATAATTTCTGTTCCCTAAAGTGAGCTCTGTAGATTGGAGTGAGTGACAGAAGCCACACACTGACTTTACCTGCTTTCAATAATACCTGTAACATCATTAGGACAAGTGCAGGTTGTGTATTTTTTTTACTTATTGCTCATGAGTCACAGTCATGTCTTATCTTGTGGACTAACTATTGTGCATGATTTTAAGTGTCAGATCAAGAACAACGCTGATCACTGTGGAAAGTTGGTATGGAAGGCTGTTTATCTGTTGATGAGAGAGGCTGCTGAACTGGATGAACTATGGAAGTGCTGCTCAAAGGCAATATGCACACTGCACTCAATCCAAGCTGTGTAGGGCTCATGTTATTCTGAGAAAATACAGTATGTTATTACAAAATAGCTTACAGTATGCTGTTATAACAAGAAAATAGTTGTAATGTCTTAATAATGTGGAAAATATGCTTTAATGTAAAAGTATCTTTCAAAAATAAGCAAAGTATCTTGTTATAATGAGTTAGATGTCAAAATAACATTTACCCTTCCACAAGCACTTTCAAATATAATCCTGCAGGCACCACTGACCTTGACAGTGGCTGAAGTTGTGCCAGAACTTCTGCTGTGTCTGGAAAATTATTGCAGACAGAATTCCTATGAATCAAAAACACATCACAACATCACAGGTTTGCACTGAGACATCTGAGATGAAGCTCTTAACTTTCCTGTTCTTTCTTTATAAGTTATTTAACCTAGTAAAAGAACAAAGCTAGACTGAGAAACCAGATAAATTTACATTTTGAAAATGAAACTTTTCTAGATACAGAGGTATTGCTGTCAGATCAGGGTTCATACAGGTGAAGGCTGTTAGTAATGTTAGTTTTCCAAACCTCATCTTTGTGTTTACATTAATATATTTTCAGTGTTTGTCTTAGAGATTGAATCAGTGTCAACTCGTAGTCTTGTGAGTTGTTTTAGAAAGGCTTACACATCCTCTTTAGAAGAAAAGGACAGTAAATACACTAATTCAGCATGGCTATAATAGATCTAATTCCTTCTGTCTTGGTAATTAGTGTTGAGGAGAAATCAAACTGTGCAACCAGTGTGAGTCCCCTGTTGGAAAGTGGTGGTGGAGTTGCCAATGTGACAAGCAGTGTTGATGCCATTGGTATATTTTGTTATGGCTTGGTTTTTGTGCAAATTATATAAGCAAGTTGTGTGTTTATTAGTGAATTTTACAGATGCTGGAAGATTTTCTTATCTTGAAACAAAGTAAGAATAGCTGTTTCCTTCTGTTTCTCTTTTGTTTGTGCTCCATCTATCCATTATTTATACTGCTTATCCTGAACAAGTCACCAGTCTATCACTGGGCTGACAGAAATCCTTGCAGGCACATTGAGAGCATGCAAACTCTGCACAGAAAGTCCCAGTTGACCGCCAAGTTGGAACCTGGGACCTTCTTGTTGTGAAGCATCAGTGCTAACTACTGCACCACTTTATTGCTCCCAGGCACAACCGGAGCTGCTAAAATTAGATATTTAATGTGTTGTGATCCATCACCCCATTTGCAACAAAATGGTTTCAAATTAAACAATGTAAATTAGCTTTTAGCAAAACTACTTTTGTGTGATAAAACATTGTGAAAAGTATTGTTCTAAGCCTACCATAGATTTAAACACCTAATGATGAAAGCTGACCTCTGCTAGGTCTATGGGGCCTGTAACAGCCTGTGAATTCTATCAGTAGAGATATTTCTGTGTCCTGGGACAGTTTTGTACCTGAAGGTTTGTTCACTGAGAGACTTTTATGAATTGCTTCCTCCAGCTGTTCCTCTTTAGTACTTCTAGTTGGTCAGTGAGAAGCAGTAGGGAAGTGGTTAGGCAGGGTGTAGAATGTCTCACTCTGTTACACACCCACACATCTTCAAGCTTGTAGAAATGAGAGCCATTTCACACCATGAAAAATAGTAGAACACAGTTCTTGAGAGTGAAAAGGCCTCCAAAGATACATAGATTTATTTTGATGGTGACTGATCTCTGACTGGCTGTTTTTTTCTTAAAATGACTAAACCATTTGGTCCATCTCTTTGCAGCTGATCGACTCGTTTGCCTGGGAAATAGGCATATTGAAGAAAGAGATGGGGGAAAACACTGAGCCTGCAGAAGGAGACCAGAAAACAGATACACACTTTGGGTGAGCTCAAGTTGTGTCTGTGTCTGTGTATAGGGCACTTATTTTTACAGTGTGTATGTGGGTGTAGATACTTTTCAATGCTCAAGTCAGTACTGCCATTTCATTTTATGGAGTGCACTTCCCCATTGCCTGTGCTGCCTGAGCAGCAGGCATTCACACACTGGTGATGACACCAGTGTGTGAATGTGTGAGGGTTTGGGAGTGCGAATGGGTGAGTGGTGTGAAATATAAATATAAATACACAAGTATAGGACCATTTACCATTGCTACCAGCAGAGAGTGCTCTTGACAGGCCTTTGTTGTTTTGTTTTGTATAATGTTGTGTGGGATGACCAAATAGTGACACATAGTTGTCACAGACCTATGTTAGGAATCAGCAAATAGCATGACAGACTAATAAATTCTCTGGAAACTGCTGTGTAGTGCCTGTGGTCACTTTCCCATTAATCTTTGAACCTGAAAAATGACATCTTAAACTAATAGAAAAAACTTAACTCCAGACAAATCACTGACAGTCGGCACAAAGAAGAGTCATAATGTGTATGTGTATAAGCTGAATTCACATCATGCTCAGCACAGTTTCCTGGACTGTTTAATGCTTCTGATGATTAATTCCTCATCTAAGATAGTTTCACTAGAAATCAGAAAGTACCTGTCAAGTTTTGAGGAAGTGTGAAAGGTGCTTGTTGGCAGTGTGTGAGATACACTGATGAATTCCAGTTAGTTACTTGTTTTAAAATCATTAATGTAAAAGTCACTGAATTAGTCATGAGCGGTTTAACAGATGTTTGCTTTTCTTACTGTCAGCACTTGAAACATTAACACATTAGTCTACTGCCTACACATTTAAAGTTTGTACATGCTTATTTAGTGTGTGTGAGTGTGTGTCTGTGTGTGGTGAAGTCAGTGTTTGCTGGAGTGGTGGAGTGAATTGTAGTGTATTACTAGTAGTAGATTATTATTGCTATACTGACGGAAAGTAAATTTGTACATTTACTTCATTTTATTCCACTGTATATTTCTACTCTAATATAATTCAGAGGGAAGTGATTAGGCTGCTACATTTATTTGACAGCTAATATCAATTGTTGCTTCACAAAAAAAAAAATTAATAAAGGGCCCTAACTCTACCTAAATCTGAAGTAAAATACAACTTACATATTAATCTACTACTACTAATATTCTTAATAACAACAATAATAATATTAATAATAGTCTTGTGATATAATATAATAAGATAACACACATATGGACAGTGTTGCAGTATTAGGTATTTTTACTTTTGATATATTTTGCTAACAACACTCAGACCTATTACTAAAGCAGAATTTGCAATGTGTGGCTTTTACTTGTAATTTTTACAGTGTATTTTTGTTAATTTTACTGGCATAAAGCTTCAGAATTCCTCCTCTACTGCTGATAATAAATTTCCTTAAATTAAACGAGATAGAATCGTTGATTCATTTTGTGTACTTTTGGGTCTGTTTATTTAGATGGAAATATTCTGCATAGCATATAAAATCTTTTAAAAGTGCCCCTGGCATGCTTATTTTGCTCATTTACAGCAATTTACTGTTTAATCTTGGGTACCTCTAGATTATCTTGGTACTCCTCATAACTCCAAATAGTCTGTAATTATTTCAGAATGATAAAACTAGAGAGCCTCTTCCTAAAAATGAGAGGATAGTTCATGAATGCACACAACTCCTGTTGCCGGTGTTGTGTCAAAAGTGGACAGCACAACCAATCGCAACAGTATTAATTAATCTGAATATCTCCTCCATAGATACATAGGTAAACAACGGTATATGTACTGATGAAAAGAGATGTGTAACACTTTAAACAAAGCGTGTAGTTGAGAAACCCCATATTTTAACTGGCATAATGCAGACATAGTAACTTCTCCAGCCTTACAACAATTCTCTCTAACCTTACAGAAACAAGGCATTAACAGACATGCAACATGCGTTTTTTTTAAACTTACCATTAAGTCCCACTGAGTAGTGGAAATATCACTCCCTCTCAAGTAGCTCCAAGGTCGGTAAATGCAACCAGTGGTCACTGCATCTTCCCCCACATGACCACATACAGTCCCAAAGCAGTGAAATTAATTCCAACAGGTAGCGTAGCACCGACAATAACATCATGGTTCGATAATCCACTGGTTAACCAGCAACACATCACATGTAGCACACATACACCCCTCAAGCAGTCAAAACAAACAGGTACTGTGCTCCAGGGGAATCCAGCCTTGATGAGCTGATCACTAACCACTGTGGGGGCTTCATTGGCCAGCTGCTTGTAGGTTAGACCCGGTCAGGTAATACAGTGAATCCCTGTACAAGAACATTCCCAGACATGCAGTAACCTCAGGCCCTGTATTTTTCTCCACATCCTCTGGTCACAGTGCAGCAGGAGGAGGGAAAATATATCCAGAAAACTGGAAGTAGTCAAAAAATTTCGCTTTTACAATGCCACCAGTGGATGTCTTTTTTTAAATAAGCTTTATTGAAAGCAGATAATAAACAAAGGCAATATAACATTTTGCCAGTATGGTGGAGGCACTGGTGGATATCAGGCAAGCTCACAGGAACATGCAACGGCCTGGATTTTGTGACCATTCAAGGAAATCCTTAAACTATCACCTAATACTTAATTTTGTTAGAAAAGAGTCTGGCAAGCATGAGTTTGTGAGATGTGTATAAACCGAGTTGCTTCTGCGAGAAATACTAGAACATATGTACACCTCATTTATTGAGTTTTAGGTCCCTAGTAGGCTTGCGGTTAAGGCGCAGCACTCTCGCCACTGTGGCCCGTGTTCGAGTCAGGGTTGCGTCAGGAAGGGCATCCAGCGTAAAACACTTGCCAAATGTCAACATGCGAGTCATCAGTGTGACGAGTCGCTGTGGTGACCCCTAAACGGAAAAAGCCGAAAGTGACTTTCTAGGTCACGTCTAAGATTAGAGTTCACTGTTGTAACATTGTAGATAAGTCAAAAGTAAAGAAAAGCATGCCATGGACTCTAAGTTCCAATATACATAAAGTTTGTCCCCATCTTATATCCTCTCCATCTAGAGAAATTACTTTCATCCTGCCAAAATAAAGCCCATGATTAATGGAGATGTTCCCGTCACACCTGAGTGGCTCTCATTCTGATGAATGTTGCACTTGCTACAACATTTAATGCTGATATTGTGAAATATGTAATATTTGTTTGTCCCTGTTGTCAGGCTGGTTGAAGAGTTTGGAGGTCTCTTCCTGCAGGCTTCACCTTGTGCTGGGCTAAAAGCAAGGCTACCTGGAACAAGGGATTCAGGATATGAATCTCTCCATCGGCAGCTCAGTGTTCTGGACAGATTGGTGCATACACATACAATGTGGTTACAGTTGGGCCTCAGCTATGAGGATGCTACATGCATACTGATGAACCAACCCACTGGGGTGAGGAAGAAGAAGCAACTGTGGTTTGTTGTGTCAAACACTGTTGACATAACACTATCACCTTGGTTTAAAAATTTAATAAACATACACAAGTGGAAACAGTAAATGCAGAATGTGTACAGTGAATGCAATATAATACAACACTTTAATACAGCCTCCTAAATTTGTGCTACAAATTAATACCTCTCTAACACAGTTTAAATACATTTTATGTGCTTAACATACAATCGCAACTATATATATGTTTGACTAGTTGAGAACATGTTCATATACAGTATAATGGGTAGGGTTGTAGAGATAGGATGTACAGCAACTGATTACCCCCCCCAGGAAAAAAGTAGACTTTATATGTTTACAGTCCATGTACAGCCTCTTTGGAACTTTGAGTCAAAGATACCACTAATGTCGCAGCATTGTAACTGATGTCTCACACTAATATAATAAACCTGTAATATTGTCTTCCACTGTCTTTTTTTGTTTTAATCCTAAATATAAAGCAGATGAATAAATATATATATATAGGAAGAAATTTACACATTGACATACTTTGTCTTATCACAAAACCCTCACAGATCTCCATGACATAGTTCTGCAGCAATGTGTGACTGTATGTTCTAATTAGATGTTTTCTCCTTTGGCCTGTAGACATTCATCGTGAGAAAGTCAGCCAGCCTGCAGAGGAAAGTCATATCTCTACGTATGGACAAAGAGACTGCAGTTTTTGTTAAAGACTTCCCTGTCAAGGAGAGCCAGTACAGTAAGCATCTGAGAATTCCTTTGTGTGTTTGTTTTTTGTCGTTTTTTTTCCTTTGAATTGCAGCATTTCCAGCAAACATCATACAAGAACTATTGGAAAGTCGAATGACTGCAGAGTGCAGTTATCATACAGACCTGAATCAGTATGACTTACAGACTACACATATAGCAGTTGTTTTTTCAGTGCAATGAACTACTTTTTGAACGAATCAAATGGATCAGTTCAAGCCAAAAAGCTAGGTTTTCTCCTACTTCCATTTATGTGCCTCTAAATGTGTCTTACTCACTTCAAATATGGATGTGTTACACAATTTCTTTTTCAGGGTAACCAGGGCTGTTTGAAAATGAAAACATATGAGATGAAATTTTCCATTATAGGAAGCTACTGAAATGCACTGAACAGTGTAACACTCACCCTCAATTCTGTGTTTGTTTCCACTGCCCCTCACGTGGAAGTGCATTATTTCATATGTACAGTATATCATATTATTGGATTCTTCCTGTCTTCATTGTTGTTGAAAAGAAAAGTGCTGTACTGTGAAATGTGTAAAGCTGTTAGGCTCTCTCTTAGGCCAGGGAGCGAGAGAGAGGTAAGAAGGCCCCAGAATGCAATACACTGAAAACAGGGGAAAACTGATGATGGTAATGGTTCAGTCAGAGAGGACAATCCAGTGTGCAGGGGAGCATGTGGAGACAGGCTAACCTGGTGGAGTGGTGCGAGGAAGAGTGTTGTACCCGGTATTTTTAACCACGCTAACTCTGAGAGACGAAGCAGTCCAAGTAACTTCAAAACAGTGCTGATTTATTCAATGAACACAGGTAAAAATTAACATTACACGCTCAGGTATCTTTCACCTCCAACATGCACGCAGGTAGCTGAAAGATGAAAGACCTTGAACCACAACAGGCCTATACATTATATCACTTTGGTTGGGCTAGCCCCATTCTACACAGGAACACCAAACCGTGACGTCTCCCAGTGCCAGCTTTGCAGCTGGCCATGGCAGTAGTCAAAGCATGAAGAACATCAATGTGTGATTGTCTGTTGATTATGTGGTGTGTAGCTAAAACATTCTAACACAACCTCTAGTGACATGTCATGACATTAAACATAAGAAAATATTATGGCTATGGCT